TTATACGACAGAACTTTTTTAATGGAAAGAGCTATTTTGAAATTTATGTATAGTTATGTATATATTTTTTCGTTGTATTTTCTGACTTTTTTGTGAATTCGGTCCACAAATTAGTGCAATAAAAATCGCAAAATGCAAATATAAAATAGTGATTTTATTATGTCTGAAAATCAACTCGTTGTGCATAGGTTTTTTTTTTATTTTAGGGGGAGAATCCTGCTGGGCCGCCATACTGTTCATTAGAAAACGGTGTAAATGATAATAGAGATAAAAAATGTTAACTAAATAGGTTAGGTTAGGTTCAAGTTGTTGAATCTAATTTATACAGTTCATACACCTTACTCATTATTATTATTATTATTATTATTATTATTATTATTATTATTATAGTGTTAAGTGAATACATTTAGTTATGTGTAATGTCAAGGCTGTTTTGAGACTAATTGTACGTTTTATCTTAAGTCATTTAGTTGCGTGAGTTCTTACATCTTCCAGTTATGAGGAAGAGCCTTCGTAAGAGCCTTTGAGAATCTGAACTGGAGGATGGTGGGAAATAATTAAAAAAGAAGTTGATTTTAAACAAGGCACTTTTATTTATCTGTTGAGGAGAATGACTTGAGTGTCTGAACTATTTAGTAATTCAAGGGTTTTTTTTCTATTATGAAACTCGTAAGATATCAGAATGTGAGTAAAATGGTATGAAGAGGTTAGTTATACGGAGTAGTGTTGGGTTATGTCCAGATTAACGAGATAATGGAACAGATTCATTACGAGGTTGATGATACCTTCCTGGATGTATGAATGGCGTCTAATTAACCTGACCACAACACGAGTTTCTGATCTAGCTATTGATTTTTTGGGATCAATACATTGTGATTATTGTATGTAATATCTTCTACTTCAACTAAATCTTCACATTTTATCCCTATTTACCACTTCCTGTACCACCTCTAACCCTCAGGTGATTATTTGGTTATTGTGTCGTTTATTTAAGTCGCCCCTTATAATGACCATTTTCATTTTGATTATTAACCTTTTAGTAGAGTTTCCCCTTCATAAAGTTGTATTCTTAAGTGATCTTTGTCTCGTCTGATGTGACCCTAGATTAACTGTGTATTTTTCACCTTAAATTTAGTACTGTATTCTTGTATCTTGCCCTCTGGTGAACACTGTAACTCAGGGTTCATATGTATTTGTCCTTTGAGTTAAACATCACCTTTTTAACGCAATGTTTCTCCGTTGTTCAGCTATTGTAAGTGTTTATTTAAGTCAAATGTTTAATTATTATGTTTTTCTTATCCTCTCTACGCATTTAACTTGTCATTTGTGTTTATGCTGAGTCTCATACACCAACAACATCAACCAAACTTCCCTCCCTAGTACATAGCATTTTTAGCCTAGCATTCTTAACTTCACTCCTCCCTCCAGCGAGCGTCAGTGAGCTTCCCGTGTATCCCTATGGCTGTGACAAGCTTCTACCCGCTAAAGTTTCCATGTAGTTAATCTTCGTTTCTTCCTCTGTGTCTTTACTAGAGGATCCCCACGTGTGTTTACAGGCCTTGTGGTTGACTACTGCCTCGCTGCGGGGAGGTGGGAGGGGAGAAGTCAGTCGAGAGTAGGGTTTGGCTTGCTAGGTATGTGTGTGTGTGTGTGTGTGTGCACGTGTTCGAGTAAGAGGCTGTAAAAATACAACTGTCTTCCCTCTAAGATGAAGACGAGGTGTAGACGATTCCCTTGTTTGTTCTCACTCTCTTAAAATCTTCCTTCTCAATGTTGTATGGTGACGTCACACTTAGGGTTCTATCCAAACAAACAACTTCAGTTACGTTCGACGAGGAAGTGTTCCTTACACCCCCGTCGACGAGGAAAAATGCCTCAAGTGGTGTTCACTAGCGTAAAACACGAGCGCTTAGAATCATTCAAGGCTTTTAACTCTCAATTTGTTTTCCTTCGCTGAGCTTACACTTGGACAGGGATGAGGCCCACTGTTGCCAAACACTCGGGGGCGGTGACAAGGGAGAGGTGATGACTGCCAAGATAAACAAGTTGTTTTGAGGCAGCCACAACCACCTGACGATGTAAGTACACCTATGTAGGGCTGCTCCTCCCACACTCACTCCCGGAAGTATTTTAAGCGTCAACATTGGCTGTGTGTGTGTGTGTACGCGCACCAGAACGAACACTTAAGGTTTTAACTATAATACTGAATCATACTTCACATCAAGGAACCATTTAGCAAGAATTAGTTAACGACCCAGTTTATGATACGTGTTGCTCGTTCTTATCACCACAAATCAACTCTTAACTCTTTTATTTTAACATTAGTCACGAGAGATCAATAGAAGTATCACGCTCCATTAACTGGGTGTTTTAGCTGCCTTAGGAACATCATCATAAGCTTCAGCTATACATAAAAATCTAACATTAAACCAAAGTAGATCGGTCCCCGCCATCACCCAGCTAAGATTAAGGTGCAATTTCGTGTCATATATTGTAGTAATGGTCGACAAAACGGGTTTATAATCCTAATATCACTTTATATAAGGATTATATTATGACGTTGATATAGCACATATACACGTCGTTCCTGCCCTTAAAAGTGAGAGGTTATGGCCTATGGGGGGGGAATTTATAGCTCATCTCTGCTCTCTTGTCCCGATAAAGTCACCCTTGGCTTTATCATAAATAGATCTGTTGACTCACTGTGTTTGTCTGTGTCTTTCTCCCACACATAGACAGACTCTGATTAGTTACTTCTTGAGAGCTTGTCATATATACCTTACTATAGATGGTTATATAGCTACGTGTGGATTGACTATATTATATTTATATTATTATTTTTGTCTCTACCTTTTGTTATATATGTGTGTATTTTTTTGTTTTTATTTGTGTATTTGTTTGTGTGTGTGTATGAGGCAAATATGGTCTTTATTGTCTACTGCCAAGTGTGTGTTTGTAACCACTCAGCTCATCTACTTGTTTCTTATCTATTTGTTTGTCTCTGTTTCTCTCCATTTCTCTTAATCTCTCTTTCTTTTCTCTCCCATTCTCTCTCTCCCATTCTCTCTCCCTTCCCCTTCACCTCCTGAATTATCCTTCCTCCCCTATTATTATTTCATCTACACTCATCACTTATCAGAGATACAGTAAAAGTTAACAAATAAAGCCTTTCTCTCCCGGCTCCTCCTCTCCCCTCCCTCTACATTGGGAAGTTTTTTCCTCCCCTGGTCATGTGAGGGGTGTCACTGGGGAGGCTAAAGGGATGAGTGAGGGGAGGCTGAGGGGAATGAATGAAGCGATGGTGAGGGAAAACCGAGGGAAATATCACCGAGGAAAGGTTGAGGGGAATGAATGAAGGAATGGTGTGGGGATGAGTTGAGGGAAGGATGAGGGGAATGACCATGGAATGAATGAAGGAATAGTGAGGGAAGGCTGAGTGAAATGAATGTGGGATGACTGAGGATGAGTATGAAGGGAATAACTTTAGAAAGAGCCTGTGGAAGAGACTGAAGAGATGAGAGGCTAAGGGGACTGAACTGATGAGGGGACAGACTGAAGGGAAACTGACCGAGAGAGACCAAATGGGGACTGTGAGAAAATCAAAGAGATATACCAAAGCCAGAGCGATATACCATTTATAATACATCGCTCAAGCGTCAATTCAGAATCAAAGAATGTTCCTTTAGCTTCAGTTCTCCCTGTCATTGCCAGTTATCGCCTTGATTGATAGATCTTTATAAAACAAATAACCAGAAAAAAGCGACTCCGGGAATAACGCGTCTTGAGGGTCATCTCCCGCAGCGAGTATACGGAGGAAAAATTCTCACACGAGGTAAAAAGGATAATATCACTCATTCTGCCCGGTAGACGAGTATATGAGGTCATTTAAAAGCAAGTAAGAGTGTTAATGGTCAAATATACATGAAGATTCGTCCACCGGCAGCCAAATGTGCTCCTGAAAAGTTAAGTAGTGATAACAATGCTTATTTGAAGTTGTGATGGTAGCATTTATTCTTGTTAAGAGTAGAGTCGCTTTATTTTGTGTATTCATGTAATGTCTGAGTAGGGGAGGCTCGCAAGTACAGTACATATTTCTGGGTTATATCATTGATGGCTAAATGGTCAGTAATTTTCATGAGATTATAATGTGTATGGGTTTCTTAATATTTTTGCGTGGAAATTAGCTCACTGATCCTACGACAGTAAGTTTACATTGGTACAACGGTCCTGCAATATATAGTTCTCACTGTACACTGATCTTGAATAACATTATTTAAAAATATTATAATTTTGTCTTTACTTCAGTCTATTAATCTGTATTTACGTTGCCAGTGATACCAAACCAAGTACAAGGGTGTGGTCACTGTGGTGTATTGAGACCCCTTGGAGTACAGAGGGTTGGCGGTGACCCGGTAGGTGGTAATAGTGTCAGTTGTCAGGAGATAAGCGTTGTACTTGTTCATGTTTCCGCCGTTTTTGATATGTATCCGTATTTATTGGTGATTTATAAATTTGGTTGAACACAAAAGTGAATCACCCTGAACTTAAACACACACACACACACACACACACACACACACACACACACACACACACACACACACACACACACACTTCTCACCATTGCTGTTGCCACACTAAAGTTTGGCTCTTACCTCTTCCTCGTATCCTCCAGTAAACTTTGACGATTTATCTGCCACCCAACCCGTACTAAGTCCCAGTCAGGGACACTGAACCCTGAAGGGGGGGGGGTACGGACTAAAGGGTCTTGTTAGTACTTGAGTGCAAAGGCTTCTAGTTATAAGTACAGACTGTAGGGAATAGGGTACAAGTGCTTCCTGGGGGTGTCTTACTCTCCAAGAGGAAGTCGAGGGCCAACTCTCATCTTATAAATGTATTCAAGTGTGTCGTGGTCATCAAGACGGCTTGTGATTTATCTCGTGGTACACATGATACTTCCTAATAGTTGTAATCCTACTTCTAAGTCCTGCTCTCTACGTTCACTTAACACGTTTTAACTTTATCTTGTTACTGAGGATTTCACTTGAGATGGACTCTCTTTTGTCAAACACGAAGTAAAAGGCAACATCTCTGGTGTAAGGAGTAAGATAATTATGCTTGAGTCTTTCGTCATAATACTGGTGAAATACGATGTTCAAACAGCTGATGTTTATTTTTTGCAGCTGCACTCGTGTTACCTTACTCCCGGCCACCACGGGTATCAGCTTATCTACTCCATCACTGGTGTGTTATGGCGGCCACAGCTGGAGCCACACCTTGGGGCCTTCACAGAGTACAGTTCGTTGAGTCTCTGGAGTTATATGACGTCATTAACGTTAAGAGCAGTTTTATGGTTGGGTTAATCATTCACATTCTCACTCATTCTTCTTCTCTCTGTATTCCTTTGTTTTTTGTGTTTGTAACCCCCCCCCTTCCATGTACAGTCGTCTGCACTTACACGAGGTACAGTGGCTGGCGCATTTTGTGAGATGTGGCAACTATGTGGAATGTTTATCTAGCAGCAGTCTTAGTCTGGCTACTACTGTGAGGTTCCTTAGGGGCCACTCTGGGAGTCTTAATACGATGTAAACAAACACAGAGATGCCACATGTCGCAAAAAGGCGCCAGCCACTGTACCAGGTATAAGTGCAGACGACTGTACCCGGCCAAGACGGAAAGAAGGAGGGGGGGGGAGAGGGCAGTGGAGTACAAGCTTGTCATCCATGGGTCCATTTTTGCGCCCGTCCATGCTCTTGCGTCTGGGACCTGTGAACACAACAATACAGATGATTGTAACCAAACTTAGGACGGAGATACATCGTAATAAGATCTCAAATGAGTTCTGGCTTTAATGTTTACCCTCAGTCACTAGTACCTGTTTCATCAATGGATAAGAATATGCTGGATTACCTTCACTCTAAAATCATGATCAGCCAGATACAATATCAGTTAAGATCAAAAGGATTAATCAGGATCAGTCAGGGTCTACGAAATCAATCAAGGTTTGAGGCTGAGATTATTCACAGTCCATTATAGGGAGTTAAGAGATCCTACCAAATTATTAAGGGTCTCCTCAGGTCACGGTATGTTAACACACAGCTCTGCCCTGACCACCATCTATATCACAGTAACAACAAAGCGCTGTGAGGAAACTGGTTCATGTAGTTTATGTTCACCTTCAGGTATATCTCTCTTTTACGGTGAATCTGTGAGTGCTAGGCTTCACTATATTACAAAATGATACCAATAGTTGTTTTTTTCTTGCTTAGTGGCAAAGAAGAATGGTGGAGATAAATACCCATAACTCCAGGTGATTCTCTGGCTGTGAAGGTGTCATCATTCTCTTATTACAGGTACAATAAATATATTCTAGACTAAAATAAATGTGAAGAAGGTTCCAGACTAAATTACATAACAGTATCCTAATATCAGTTGCAATTCCGGAAGTTAAAAAAATAAAAAACTTAGCTCAACTCTGTATGATGAATATGTGTTTTTCATTAGGTGTGAATGTTATTGGGGGTATGAGGTGAGCGTTGTAATCACTCGGTCACCCTCATAGTGTTATTCGCTTCTTGTAAGTTTTTCACGGCTTGTTTGGTCCTCTCGGTGCCTGTTCTAATTTTCTGTTTAGGTTTACCCTCCCCTCAAAACTCTCTTCCCCATCCTCCCTCCCTACGGATATGTCTCCCTAATCCTCCCTCTCCTCATCCCTCCCCCTTCCCCCACAATCCTCCTTCCCCTCTGATCCGTCTCCGTCCTCTTTCCTTCCTCTCCTCCTCCTCGGTTACCTCAGGTCCACGCCCCCCTGGTCTATTTCCTCTTCTGCTCCGTTGACAATATTTAATGAATTATCTCTCAGCCCTAATATAACGTTATCTGATGTGAGCCGCCTCGTAAAATCGATGAGGATGTTCGGGCAGCTCGTCGTCATACCACCCACCAAATTATCGATATCCCCTTTTCACCCGTTATTACGAGTATATATCACATCACACGAGAGTTTTATGTGATACGAGAAACCGCGGGTAGAAAATACGAGGAGGAGAAAGAGGCTGTCCAGACGGCTCTCTATGTTCCCTGGTCGAATAGTAAAAGCCCCCCCCCTCTCTCTCTCTCTCTCTCTCTCTCCTTCTCCCTCCCCCATTCTGACAGACGCTCATAAAAGACAGCCCGGGGAAACTGTCAGATGTTTTTACACAGACGGGGGGTTATAACAAGTCGTCGTCGTCGTCGCCACCACAGGACCGCTGCTGCACTGCCCGCCTCTGCCGCCGCCACCGCCGCTCCTAAATGAACGTTATGATGTATTGATATGAACACGACGGCTCACCCGACCACACGCCGCCTCAACACTCACACCGAATTTATTGGATTGTTTGTGGTTTTTTCTTTATTGTCTCGAGTGGACGATAACTGTGGTGAGAGAGAGAGAGAGAGAGAGAGAGAGAGAGAGAGAGAGAGAGATGAAAACGAGCAACTGAATGAAAGATAAAAAAAAAGATAATGATGAAAGAGGAGGTTAAGGACAAGGGAGTAAAAGATACGAAGAGAAGAAGGAGAGGTGGGAAAGAGAAATTCGGAATTTGGGGGAACGAGAATAAAAGCTAAAGAGAATGTGAGAACTGGAAGAAAATTTGAGGAGGGGATTTTAGAAGATAGGTTGAGAGAATACGGAGAAGCGAGAGAGAGAAAGATACGTGAATTTACCAAGGGGAAGGAAGGAAGGAAGGAAGGAAAGGAAAGACTGAAGAAGAGAAAAAAGAAGACGTATAGAATTTGTATACAACGATCCCAGTTAGAGGAAGGAGGGCATGAAGCAACAGTCTAGCTTGCCCGCCCCAGAATCCTCACATTCTTGAAGCAAACAAAAAAAGAAAGTTCAAATAAAATCCATCGTTGATTTTTTTTCTTTTCTCCACGTATAAGATTCCTGGTTTATTAAAGGTAGCTACCTAGACCTTCCCGTAGTGAGGATTATTTGAGTAAACACGATTATATGTAGTTTTGGGAGCTGTTATATTGTTATTTGTGTTGGTAAATAAAATGACTGCAATCACCAGCCTGAAATATAATGTCCATTTCTCTGTATGTTGATTGTTATTTGTTATTAAGTCGGTATTTGTTTTTGTATTTGTTTCTAAGATATTGCTAAAAATTACACTTTTTTTTTTTTTTTGCTTTCTAATTTAAAAATATATAAAAGCCTTTACCCTTTACCCCACTTGTGTGTGTATTATTCCATGAGCCTTTATTGTGTACGGTTCGTCTTGGGCTATGTGGTGTATTTCCTATCGCTGTTTCTTTTATCTTATTTATTTCTTCCTCTTTCTTCTTCTATACTTCCTCTTCTTTCTTCATTTATTTCCTTTTATTTATTTCGTTCTATTCTTCTTTTCTTTCTTTTTCATTCTTCCTCCTCCTCCTCCTCCTCCTTACTGACGGGTGGTGGTGGGGGGGGGGGACATCACAGTCAGTCACCTCACCAATGAGTTATAACTAATCACCCGTGTTTAAACTTTAAGCAGTATACAACAAGGGGTTAAAATTTCTGGCTAATTAATTAACCCTTCATAAGTTTCCGTCTCGTTATTAAGGGCCTCGACCTTCACCCATCGACAACAACAGGGGTGAGGAGAGAGAGAGGGGTGATGAGAGGGAGGAGAGGGAGAGGTGGTGAGAGGTAAGAGGAGAAGGAGCGTGAGAGGGAGGGGGGAAGAGGGAGAGAGGAGCAGGGATGAGGAAAAGAGTAAGGGAAATGGGATTAGAAGAGGAGGAGGAGGAAAGGAATGGAGAAGAAGAGGAAGAGACGGGAAGGAGAGGAAACAGAAAGGGGTGGAAAGGGGATAGGGACAGGAGGAAAGAAGAACGGGATGGGGAGAGTAAAGTAAAGAGGAGAGGAGGAGACATGTAAAAAGAAAGGATAGAGGAGGAAGAGGAAAGGTAAAGGAATCGAGAAATTAGAAGAAAAGGAAGAGAAACGCTTCTTTCTCGTTTTCTTTCCATCTCTTCCTCCCACTCTCTCCTCATACTCTCCCTCTCTCCCTTCCTCTCTCTCTCTCCCACCTACTCCGGGTAATTTTCCCTCTCCCTTTTTTTAAGACCTGTTGAAGGTTCTAGTATTATTAGCCATTCTCATTGTAATCTTGCCTCCCTCCCTACCTCTCCCTCTCTCCCTCCCTCCCTCCCTATCTCTCCCTCCCTCCCCTCCCTACCCTTCCCCCCCTCCCCTACCTCTCCCTCCCTCCCCCCTACCTCCCTCCCTTACCTTTCCTCCCTCCTGGTATTCAAGGCTCGTTTAAAGGCGCCATTGAGTGAGCTGTCCTTCAAAAACTTGTTCCCCTTTTACATGTAAGTTGGCATCTGGCCCTCCACGGTGCTGAGTTTCACTGCTAACCTCTGCTAGGCTCTTGCTCTTTCCTGTATTCTTTCTCTCTCTGTCTATTTCTCTGTTTCTACTCTTTTATTCTAATTTTTCTTCTTTTTTCATGAAATACTCTGTCGCTCTCTCTCTCTCTCTCTCTGTTTCTGTCATTTTACTTTGATTTTCCTTCTTTATCCACTGGCTTCTCTGTCTCTTATTTATCTCTTTTATTCTACTCTTCGTTCCCTCTTATCTTTTTATAATTATCTGCACCTATATGAAATTATTATTTTATTACTATTTATTTAAGTGTTTTCTCTCTCTCTCTCTCTCTCTCTCTCTCTCTCTCTCTCTCTCTCTCTCTCTCTCTCTCTCTCTCTCTCTCTCTCTCTCTCTCTCCATTCGTAAGTGATAATAAATACAAAAAAATCATAAGAGATAATAACAAATATCGTAGGAGTTAATACCATAAAAATATATCACAGGTTCTCGCCAGAGGTCAAGGCCACATCGGTGTCAAGATTCAGTGGTCGTGTGGCAAGACGGGAGGACAGTTGCCTTGTGGTGGCCGGTTCTTGTCGCGCGCTGCCAGTCATACGAGGTAAAACTGTCATACTTCCCAGAGGATGCACCCAAACCCTGCCCAGGTCTCCATTGTAAGAGGTATTTTTTTTCTTCTTTTTGTCTTAGGTTCTGCGTCTCTCTCTCTCTCTCTCTCTCTCTCTCTCTCTCTCTCTCTCTCTCTCTCTCTCTCTCTCTCTCTCTCTCTCTCTCTCTCTCTCCTATGGTACTCTTCGTTTTTATTTATTTTTAATCTTTATTTATACGTATTTTTATTACTCACTAAAATACATTCTTATATTCTCGAAAACAAACACTTTATTTATTATGCACACGATTTTAAGTTAAGAATTGTATGTGATTGGTAATAGTATTGAAAAATTAATAATAAGAAAATACATACAGTGAAACCTCCATATAACGGACTTTTATCTCCGTTAGATTGAGAGTTTAGCATATAACGGACCCTCAATATAACGGGATTTCATATGTATATAATTTGTTTGATGGGGGTTTCACATATAATGGATCCTCGATATAACGGATTTTCCTCTCCATATAGTCCGTTAAATAGGGAGCATATTTTACTGATGCTGAATTGATTAATTTTTTATTCTAAATTAAATCATTTTTAAAATTTTTTGGGGGGGGGTGAGGGGGGGTTCTTTATGTAATTTTAACTCGATTTTATGATTTTCTTGGCGTAAAATTGTTCCCGAAAATCCTGAATCCTGATGAATTATGGTGATGGTGGATGATGATCTAATAAGGACGATTGTGACGATGTTGATGGTGATAATGGTGATGAATGAGGGGTGGGAGGCTGGGATGATGGTGATGA